ACATGCGCGCCTCAACAAGAAGGCGGAGAACGGCTTCCCTTGATCTCGAGTATCGTCTGAATAAGATGCGTCCACCCAGATAGAAAGATGTTGAAACTGACTGCCAAGTAGGTTCGAATACGAGGAAATAGCAACATTAATCATCTAACATCAAGTTCAGAAACTCTTCATGGAACTCACCCGAGCCACTGCATCGATGATCCAGTCTAGATTCCTGGCTCCGTTTGACCGATCGGACTGCGATTGTATCAAGCGATTTCGACGTGGTCTAGCGACCGACTGTGCGATCATTACAGGACCTGCTTCTGTCATCATACTCACATGACGTACCGGTGCCGCCATCTCTATCGTCGCTGCATTCACCTCCATCTCTTGCATGTTCTTACTCTGAAAAACAAATGGAACTCATTGTTTTTTTTCGAATTTCGCAAATGTTTGAATAGCGGACTTACAACTATTTTATCATAATACTCATCATTTGTTAAACGGCCCTTTTTAGGCGGATTCGGATCGATAAGAACACGTACACGTTCATCTCCGGTGTCTTCCTGTGCCAGGCTAACATCATACATGTCCATGACATTTCTGGAAAAGAGATTTGCTACATTTGCAGATTCGCGCCAAGGTATACTGTAGATCCTAGAGATGGGAAATGCGTTACTGCTTACTTCATTCGAGCCTGGCGTGGGATGCGTTTTTCTCAAAATGATTCCATTTGAGACAGCCGTATCGTAGTCGATGGACCCCCCCCCCCTAGAGCAACGAAGTTCCGTGTCTCGGATCTACGCTGGCAGCGGATGGAGATGGCAAGGCCGACACAACAGCAAGAATTAAAACTGCATGTAACAAATGGAGATCTGTTACGGGGTTCTCTGTGATAAGAGAATGCCGATACATCTGAAGTTGAAGATCTACAGGGGGGAGGGGGGACAAAAAAAGACTTTTTCTTCCTTGACTTTCGAGGCGCTATAAGTTACACTTTAGTAAAATCTGGTCGGACATTTTTACCATCATACTGAAGAGCATATTGAATACTACCATGACACTCCGCCACAGCCTCTGAACGACCCCGCGCTCAGATGATTTCTGGCACATGACGCCGATAAGGTGGCGAGATCAGCCGAATAGTCATTTCTCCTCACCGTAGACCACCCATTGAGATCCCCCGAACCGGTAACTGAGGGTTTCAGGTCAATTGACCCACTTATGTATTCCATCTTCTTTTAGTACCTCGAGCAACCACCTTCCATTCCAAGAGGCGAGATTTCTCCATGCCCTTCGATCATGTGTGCACTCCAATCTGTGCCAGTACAATATTTTCCAACAGATACCGCACGAACATGAGGGGCCAGGATATCTCCCACGGTGGTCGAAGTAACCGTCAGCGCTCACTCAGCCGGGGGCCGTCCACAAAGAAGATATTGCGTTTCCATCCAGCCTACGTCGGTCCCATACCATCAACCAGCGCCGTGGCGACTGTGCGTTAGCCATTAATGTCCTAGACCCGGCGACGTTTCGGAAAGCTGCTTCGAGCTGTGAGTCATCCAGATCGGAGGATACTTATCTACCGGTAGCTATCCATGGGTGACTCCATTCAAAAAGTTTCGCAGCTGTTTGGAGATGACCTGAATTCCAAAGGCCTTCTCCAGTCAGGCTACGACTGGAGATAACTCATTTTGCTTACATGAGTGACGCGGAGAGCCAGCTTCCGTCTATCGACAGAGACATCTTGGTATCTCCCACCCTGGTATACTATCCACCCTCTGTCTGGACCCAGCGCAAAATTTCTATATATGAAGCTCGGTCCACAGTGACTTTTTTTGCCCTGCCCCTCCCCCCCCCGTACACTTCTGTTGTGAAACCAGTCGCCGTCTATGGAGCCGAGACGAAACAGATGACGACCGAGGAAACAAGAGCATGGTGTTGTGAGATGAGAACGCTACGGTGGAGCATGGGATCTACACGACTCGACCGAATACCCAAACAGTCCGCGTCAAGATGAAAGTCAATCGATTGCCAATTCCCTTGCCGCATCTCTTCTTCGCTGGTATGGTCACGTTCAACGAAGGCCTCCTGATACAGTATCGAAGTCGCTGATAAGATCATCTTTGCCGGTAAACGTCTAAAAGGCCGACCTAGAATGCGGTGGAAAGACAACCTGAATATGGACATGACTGCTGCTGGCCTGTCCGCAGCCGATTCTATTTACAGGGACCGTTGGAAAGCGTTGGTCAATGAAGCGCCACACAACAGTTGGACAAGAACGCTTAGACGAAGAAGATTTCATTCGAGACAACTGTCATCCTGTTTTGGACCGGACAGAGACATACATGAAATTGTCCCGAATGGAATAGATCCCATCAGAACCGCAGGCGTCATTTTCAAATGATGGAGGGAGCCACGCCCTCCCATACCCAGAATGTTATCCAGAATGTGGAGTCTACCTGCGGGCAACAAGCTTCCGTAACTTTGAAGATAACATTGCCCCCCCCCCTATCTACTCGAGTTTAAACTAAGAAAACCTATAAACTTATGAAACCTACTCGACCACGTTTTCATAGATGATGGCCCGTTGTAAAGGTAAATGCGACGGAACTCCAACATCCAGCATATACTGTTGTTCTGATGTTTCCACCTATTCATAAATTATTGATTATTCAGCAACGAAAGGAGAAAAACGACATGAGTACGAACCTCTATTTCTTCGGTAGGCGGAGGAACATTGGGATCATCGATGTATGTGTAATGCTGGTATAACTAAGAGAAAAAAAATCATTGGACAGAAGTAGAACCTTATATTCTCGTATTTAGTAGAAGCAGGGAAATCAATACAAGTACTACCTGAATCCGATGTCTTGGAACATTTCCATCTGGTGCCTCAAGCGTTTGATTGATGCCGTTTTCCAAAGCGATTTGCGATTCTGATAATCCCACTCCATTTACACGGGAATCGTCTATTACAACACCTGAAAAAGGTCAAGGAATTTCACCGGAATCACAGTGAAGCCGAGTTAAATTTAGAAATACCGGCCACCTACACCCATGGCCATCAAAGAAGCGTGACTGAGGAGCAGTTACTGACAACTGACATTGCTGTGTCTCATCAACGAATGCTTAATAGTTGAAAACGCTCTCAATAAGACGCTTGCTTGAGCACTGTACAAGCTACGAAACGGCAACTGCACCTGAGCCTGTACAAAAGAAGACGAGCGGTATGAGGGTACACAGCGAGCGAGACTGCTTCACCAAACAGCGATTCTGAAATGGTGAGAAGGGGCGGAGACAAACGTAGTGGGCGGGGCCCAACCTTCGAGGCAGAGCCAAGCCCCATTCTCTGATGGCCTGTCAACTAATTACGATCCTGGAAAGACTTTCCTTGCAATTGCGAAACAGGCTATTCTATGCAAGGAATGTATTCAGCAGATGAGGACAATTACGGAGTGTGTCTTCAAGGTAACAAAGAACAGTCCACGGCGGGAGGTTTGCAGTGACAGCGACTGATCTCCTGGTCCCACACTAACACTTATCAAAACTTGAATGCTAGTAATATTCTAACCCAACCAGTCGGATCGCCCGCCTTCGGCGATGATCCTTCCTTCCGCGTGTGAAGTTCGCTCCTGCCATTTCCTGACTGCAGCCAGTCGGAATAGCTCGCCTTCGGCGGGCGATCCTCCTTCCGCGTGTGAAGTGGGTCCCTGGCATTCCTACTGAGGCCCAGTCGGATCGCCCGCCTTCGGCGGGCGATACTCCTTCTAGTGTTCGCAAAAAATTTTTTCAAAAATTTCCGAACTTTACCGTTTCATTCGCTGTATATACCCCCCTAGAAGACAGTCGTTGAAATTTCCTATAGGGTACCCTGATTAGTGTTAAGGACTTGCCGAATGAACGGGGGTCTTACGGGTATCTCTCTCTCATTCATCTAGCTACCCGCTGCTCAGTTTCACTCATATTCCCCCTTTCGTGATCTGCTCCGGATGCATTTTGGGGATTTTTATTCTCGGCTTCTTCCACTTCGGCGAACGCCCCGCCCATTGTGGGCGGAGCTTAGGTGAGGCTTTGTGTGCTCTGCAAATGCTGGCCCATGCCAGGTCTATTCTAAGCACAAACGGGTCTATTGAAGTGAATTTCCACGAAACCCCAATTTCAAGTGGTCAGACAGACGCACACACACACAACAACTTCTGGTTTATATATTGAGATACTTGCTTAATAACCGATATATTCATCCTGGAAAACGCTAACCTGCTTCTTCATACGGGTAGTAGTCGTACTGTTGATCTTCCGTAACAATAATGGGATGCTCTTCATTCTCGACAACCTGACTTCGATCCTGTTCTGTTTCGTTCACGACTATGTCTTCTTCACCCTCATACACAGCAGTCTCTGTTCCAGTTTCAATCCACTCTTGCATATCTCCATGGACAACGGCAATGTGCTCCTCTACCTCAAAA